GATTTACACAATATGCACTATTTTGTCTCTCTTCTTTCACACAGAATGATGGGTTTTTGTTTGTTTGTTTTCTTTCTTTTCCAAAACTATTTCTTAGTGTGAACAGCATTTTTTTTTAGTGAATAAATGAGTCAAAAAGATATGAACATTCAGATACAAGTCTTTGTGTGAACATATATTTTCCTTTCTCTTTGGTAAATACCTGACAGTAGAATAGCTGGGCCATATGGTAAGTGTATGTTTATTTCTATAAGAAACTGTCAAACTGTTTTCTAAAGTGGCCATACCATTTTATACGACTACTTTTCCTACATTGGCCTTTTACAGGTCAAAGAGTAAATAAACATTTCAGGCTTTGTGGGCCACGTATGGTGTCAGTTACATATCCTTCTTTATTTTACAACCCTTTAAAACTATAAAAATAATTCTTAACTCAAGTGCCATACAAAAGCAGGCCATGGTTAGACTTGGCTCCAGTGAAAATTATGTATCAAGTTGGGGTTCAACCAGAAAAACAGGACCACCAGAAGATATATATAGAATTAGGGATTTGTTACAAGAGTTTGGCATTATATAATTGTTGGAAGCGGGTTAAAAGTTTTGCTATTTTGTAAGGTTGTTTTCTCTATATCTTGTCCTGGGGTTTGAAATTCACAGGGCAGGCCATCAGGAGGGAAGATGGATGTACAGTGGGGGAGGTTAGGAATAGACTGGACTTTACACACCAGTTGAAGACCATGAGGAGAGACTGACACCTTCGTCAGTTCTTGTTGCCACTGACCTTGGTAGTGTGGGTATCTGACAGAAATCAGAACCTTCAACTGCACCCTCACCAATACTTGCCATGGTCAGGTTTAGATTTTAGCCATTGTACTGAGTGTATACTGATATCTCATTTTGGCTTTAATTTGCATTTCCATGATGACTAATGATGCTGAGAATATTTTCATGTGTTATTGGCTGTTTATAGGTCATCGGATTTTAAGGGTACTTTTCTTTCTTTCTTTTCTTTTTCTTTCTTTCTTTCTTTTTTTTTTTTAATAAAGCAATATGAGGTCAAGAGTAGCTCTACATGGCTGGGTATAGTGGCTCACGCCTGTAATCACAGCGCTTTGGGAGGCTGCGCCTGGCAAATTGCTTGAACTCAGGAGGTCAAGACCAGCTTGGGCTACATAGCAAAACACAGTCTCTACAAAAAAATTAAAAATTAGCCCAGTGTTGTCGGGCACCTGCAGTCCCAGCTACTTGGGAGGCTGAGGCAGAAGGATCACTTGAGCCTGGGAGGTTGAGGCTACAATGAGCGAGATTGAAACACCGCACTGTAGCCTGGGAGACAGAGCAAGACCCTGTCTCAAAAATAAATAAATAAGTAAAAATAGAAGAGCTCTATAGCTTATTTCAAAAAGCTACTTAGTATTTGCAACCTTAGTTAGCTTTGAGATTGCTAGACTGACAGTTAAACACCTGAGCAATGTCATCAGTAGGCCTGGGTCAAACCCTGACCCTGCTGCCTCCTGGCTGTGTGATCTTGGGCCAGTTCCTTAACTTTTCTCAGCTTCAGCTTCCAAACACATAAAACAATACCTACCCCATGGATTGATTATGAAGCATGAATGAGATAAGATCAATTTACTATTTGGGGATTCACATAGTGTGTTCACATAGATATCACAATCCTTTACAGCCTAGTACAGAGTAGATTTTCAATCAATGGTAGCACATTGTTCTGTGTCTGAGATTTAAACTTCCACCATGGGGATTGTGGAGAGACATTTAAGAAGGGAAAGACAGTTGTCTTTCCAAAAATGCTGTAGCTGTGGTAGTACACATTGTTATGCTTTCTTTTATCCCTTTTCTTCCTTCTGGATTCAGTGTCCTTCATGAAGTACATCCTTTAGCAGCTCTTTCAGAGAGGGTTTGTGAATGGCACACTCTCAAAGCCTTTATTTGAAAGTGTCTTCATTACACTCTGTCATACGAGAGTGAGGACATAATAAAGACCCTTTTACATTTTTATTCTATATTATACCGTGATTCCAAGAAGAGACTCAGCTCATTAAAAATAACTGCTTTAGCTTCAGGAAACCACATATGTTTTAGTTAGGTGAAGCAAGTACTTTTAATTGTTGTTGGCACTGTCATTTATACCCTTTTAAGTGGATCTACCATCTCAAAAAATGAATTTGTTCAAATTTGTGTTAAGGAAATTCATCCTTAGTAAGCAAATATTGAATAATGATGGAAAATATGACCTGTATGCTAGAAATATTCCCCAGGTTTCAGGTGTCCACTGCCCATCAGAGGCAGCACTGGGCAAGGTATATTCAGCCTTTGCAGAATAGATGAACTTCTTAGAATACAGCTGACCTGGTTTGTACACCTTATCCATGCAGTGAAACAATGTGGTTAGAAAATAAAACCACCACTGAGAACACACAAATGCAGTGGTTCTCAAACTCGAGCACGCACCAGAACACCCGGAGGGCTTGCTGCAACACAGCTTGCCGCCCTGACACCCCAGAGTTTCTGATTCATCAGGTGTGGGGCAGCTTGCTGAGAATTTTCACTTCTGAAAGGTTCCCAGGTGACAGTGATGCTGCTGGCTCAGGACAACACTTTGAGACCCAAAGATCTATGGTATTTAAATAAACCAGAGCCATCTACGCTGATCATCAGAATTTAACAGACCTAAGTTCTTTTTCGTTTCAGGATGTAGGTAAGTTCTCTCCCTGATATTGATCACTACTAAAAATAATGGAGGAAATGTTTCCAGTAGGAAAAATCATTGCCTATCTGGAAAATTATTTGAAATCAGTTATTAAAGCTTGAAGATCAACTTACTATTTGGGTTTCACATATTATAAACAATCATAATGAAAATGACACATAGAGCTAATGTTGAATAAGCTACTATAAAACATGTCTTTAAAATGAGACTATAGGCCAAGTGCAGTGGTTTATGCCTGTAATCTCAGCACTTTAGGAGGCTGAGGCACGCAAATTGCTTGAACTAAGTTCAAGACTAGCCTGGGCAACACGGTGAAACCTTGCCTCTACCAAAAAAAAAAAAAAATTAGCCAGGCATGGTGGCTCATGCCTGCAGTCCTGTAGTCCCAGCTACTAGGGAGGCTGAGTTGGGAGGATCACTTGAGCCCAGGAGGTCTAGAAGTTGCAATGAGCTGAGATCTGCCACTGCACTCCAGCCTGGGCAACAGAGCCAGACCCTGTCTCAAAAAAAAAAAAAAGACAGAGAGGGAGAGATTATATAAATAAGTCAATCTTACTCATTTATCCTTGTTTGGAATAAATATTCTGGGCTATAGCGGAACCTCAGGCCTGAATAGGTTAAAAATATGAAGTAACACATTTAAACAGAAATTTTTTTATATTCTCATACTCTTTGTCCCTGTCTTTACTTTTCTTATCATGGTGCACCTTTTGTTTTCTGCTCTTTCCCTTTTGGCTCCACTTTACCAAACACTTCCAGTGTTTTTTTCCTTTTCTAGAGTTTGATATGTAGTACTACATACCAAATAAACAAACAAGATAGACTTCTTAAAGAAATCTGTTTCAAACAGCCAGACTTACTGGGTTGAATGAAGTTCTTGTGTCCTGTGCATGGATGAGTAACTTTTCCAATCTAATGCTATTAAGATGTCAAGTGGAAATGGCTTCTCCATCCCACCCCATCTTAATGAGATCCTGACCCTCCGTGCTTATCTAATAGTGTGTATCACACAAAGTTAGGTTGTATGTGTTTAGCTTACACATTCATTCAAAGGGGAATAGTGAAGTCATTGGAGCAGGGCTGAGCTATGAAAAGATCAATTCCTTGTGTTTAAAGGAGCACAGAGATTACATTGATTTTCCAGCTCAAACTCTGGCAATTGGATTTTACCACTGTCACAGCAAACTTATGGAAGCTTAATATATGTTTTAGGAGAAGAGTCATTGTAAACACAACACCTTACTTCCTTTACATAGTTGATGTCTATCCCGTGAGTGGATTTATTTTATGAAACTCGCATCAGTATGGTTTGTCAGACCCAAACAAGTAACTTTTACAGAACCGTGTTTGAACCCAGCCATCTCAGTTTGCAGGGACTGGGGGGATGCAGGTTACTCTAATGAATCTAGCACAGGTGGGTGCTAAGGCATCACTTCTGACGGTAATAATCCATTTCTACGGGGCTCTCAGCCCCCACCAAAGGACATGCCATTTGTGTGAAACTCAGAGCCCTTAAATAACAAAGGCAGCTTCTACCCCAGGGTTAGCCAAACTGAGCGCTCAAGGTTCACAAGCGTTCTCTCAGAGCAGGTGACTCCTGTCATCCTGTCGCCTGTTATAAGTATACTGCTGTCTTATCTCCTCACAAAGCTTTTAACCTTATTTTGGTTTCTCTGTGGTGCTCTTCACCAGAATTGATAGGGTTAGAATTTCAGCTGCTTCACTTCTCTCTTGTAAGGTAGGGCTGATAATACAAACCACCCCAGGTGACCGTGTAGAGTAACGAGGTAATGAATGAAAGCACCCAGACCTACTCCCTGTTCATGGCTCCATAACTGTTTTGCAAACGTGAATATCACCCCCCACTTTGATTTTCTACCAATACCGATAAAGAAGAAAAAAGTGAGTTCATTATAACAAGCAACCTCTAACTCATTTCTTAGAGCCCAATATTTTTTGTGTGAGTTGCTGGAAATAGCTGCCCACCCCCAGCCGAAAAAAATGCTTTTCATGGAAGCATTCTATGAGGACACTGCAAGTGAAATTGTCTGTTCAGAAGGTGCTGGCTTACTACATATGTTAATGAATGTTTTCTATCCTATGAACCTAATCTCAATCAGAGACCTGAGCAGAAGATGCAACTTCAGGCGCAGACCTCTGGGAGCCCTGAGATGGTCCAGATTCTGTTTAAATGGTTTGCCTTAAAGAGTTAGAGGTAAAGATGACACTCTCCCTGATTTCTTTACATAAACAAAAATATAGGACAGTGGGGTAAGAGGTTTTCAAAACATTTTTATTACAAAAAAATTCAAATACACACAAAAGCAAACAACATAGTACAATGGAGGGGGTTGTTTTAAAAAACCTGAAGTTATATTGCAATGCAGGGAGTAGAATGATAAAAAGAAAATATTTAAACACTATGTTTATGCCTTCCATGATGGATAGCTTATTTAAGTAATTATATGTTTCTATTCAAATTGTTATATGACACTCTCTTATCAGCAGTGACTAGCACAAACCACAGTAAGATATACATGTGGCCTAGACTTTATGTATGACTAAGAGCAAAGTTTTATGAAATGATTCTTAGTATTTGCAGTGCTCTCTTGATTTATGCACTGACTTCTTCATTTGTTCAGTATCTATTTGTAAGATTAAATAAAATAGGTGTTATAACATTTGTTTAGAGAACATGAATATAGAAAAGAGAATACACACCCCATTTAGTGTCAATTTTCCATCTATTCTTTCTGAAGATCTAACTAAAATTCTCCAGGGGACATAATTTCTTTTCTGCCATAGAACAAAAGGTAGCCCACAAATCTAATATTCATGTGGACAGTTTATTTCAAAGGAACTTCTAAGCATTTTTATCATCATTTTGTGAATAGGAAAACCTAGAAACATGTAACTTATATTCTATGACCTGTCTCTGGTCAAAATGCATAATCCCAAAGGAAGGGCAGGACTTGTACCCCAGGGCAACACTCTTTCCACTTCATACTCAACACTGGCCTATCCTAGTGGATTTGAATTTTCCACTGCAAGGTAATTACGGCCTTGCACATCCAAGCAGCTCAGAAAAATCCTAAATCTGAAACAATCAAGTGTACTTTTTGCTTAAGCATTAGGCAGACTTCCATTCACCTCTGTACCAAGAGAGAGAGGGGAGAGAGAGAGAGAGAGAGAGAGAAAGAGAGAGAGAGAACATTTGGATATGCCTAGCTTTGGTAATATAAATTAAATTAGAATTATTCTTTATCTACCCATCTAACACTTTTTCCCTTCCTCTTTTTTCTTAAGAAATAAACACAAACTAGCTCATCAAGATAGTAATGACTATTTGGTTTAAAAGAAGCAGCCCATGTTTGATGTTGCTTTGTTTCTAACAGAATTAAAAAAGAAAAACTAAACTCAAACCCTATAATTCAGCCCAACCTGCTGCTATTCTTTGATGAAAGCGTTTTTAAAATAACAGATAGGAAGCTGAGATTTGCACTGAGATAAAGATAGTTAGCATAGATCAAAAGCAATCGTACATAAGTCAGTTAGATTCAGTGATCAGATGTGGTAAGTGGCTGGTCCCATATCTAGTTGCTTTATGTACAACCACATTTACTGAATGCAGGCACTCTAATAGGCTAGACACTCACAGATGGAAATTAATGGAAGGCAATCTATAATGGTTAGGCTGTTTGTTCTAGTATAGATCCAAGACTACATTTCTCCTAATTAGTAATATTACCATAATTTTTTATAACTGTCTATGCTGCCCTGCCCACAATAGTAAACTATCTTTGAAAGTTTTATCTACCATTTCTGAGGGGGTCAGCATTATCTGGTAAGTACTCTATATCCCACATACATAAACTTATAATTTAGACATAGACAATTTCCCAAGCCCATTAGAAGGAAAAACATTTTAAATCCTCCCCTTAAAAAATCTCTCTAAGGCATTTTTTTTGTGGGGAAGGGTGCAAGTAATATAAAATAATGTCAATATCAATAGGGCCCAGAAGAGAATGCTAAATTGGTTTTGAGGTGAAGTGGGATCGTGGAGAGGAGAGAATGAGAAGGAATGGTTTACTTGGTAAGTAAAATGGAAGAGTCGTAACAGTGGTTATTTTTCTGGAAGGCTGAATTGCAACAGAAACGTGTTGATAAAGACCACAGTTAATGCCACATGTTTCTTTGGGATGCCAGCCATACATTACCACTCATAATGAAGATGGTCTTGGATAATCAGAGCCAGGCTATAAATCACAGAGATTAAAAACCCATATTAGGGAATTTCCATGCAGCTCAATATGGGGGTTGCTTCCTTACTTAATATATTCATGAAGTCTAAAATTCTACAGCTGAATCTTCTCACTTACTTTCACCAGGCTTGAACACCCCTCATTGGTCATAATCAAGCCAAATTACCTTTTAGCTAAAATGGTGTTCTACCATTGATGATGATCCAACAGGCCAGGGCTAGTGTGAAGCAGCTGAGGCACTTACCTTGAGCACAAAATGTAAGGCAGGGAGTGCCCACAGCTTCAGTAATCAAGATAAATAACATTTTAACTTCCCTACCATAATCCTATCTCTGTTGAATCCTGTCTTTATTTAAAATTTTGATAGCTTGTACACCATGGATATTTTTGCATTAAATTTGAGTTTCTAAATATTATTTTTCTTGATTACTGAGGTGTGGTGCACTCTTTCAAATTTTGTTCCCTGAAGCAGGTGCTTCACGTGGTCCATAGTAGTCCTGGGCCTATAACCTTATTCTTCTATTTACATCACTTCAGATTCAAAAAGTTATTTCTTACGTCTAGCCCAGAGTTTCCCAGCCTCAGCACTTTTGACATTTGGGGCCAGATAATTCTTTAGTTACAGGGGTGTCCTGTGTATGACAGGATATTCAGCAGCAACCCTGGCATCTCCCCACTCAATGCCAGTAGCAATGCCGGATGTCTCCCCACTCCCACAGTTGTAATGGTTAGACCAAAAATGTCTCCACATATTGCCAAATCGTCCCCAGTCGAGAACCACTGATCAAACCAACATCCCTCATGCTGCAACCACCCCATTTCTTCCCCTTGCTTTCCTAAGCGAGACAGGAAGCAGCTTTTCTTCATCTTCTAAATAACAACCCCATGAGATTCTTTGCTTTGTAGAGCATGTGTTTACTTTATAATCTGATTAGAGTGATGATAATTACATTAGCATGTCTAGACTTCCTAAGGTCAAACCTTTGGCCTCTGTAAAGTTTATTCCTGTCTAATATCTGACGTCTCAGTAGGCCACTTGACCATCTGAAGCAGTGGCCTCTCCCGCAATTCAGAAATGTCTTGTGATCATAACCCCCTGTCAAACTGTAAACTCAACTCCTTCACTGCATTATGCCACAGGGATTAGTTACCCCCAACAACATTTTACTCCCTTCAAAGTGAATTTCATCTTGGAATTTATCAGTAACCTTTATGTAAACCATCATATTTTCTTCCATCTCAGAAGCTAAGGCTCTAATGAGTCAGCTTATATTAAATAATTCAGCAGTTCCATCCAACTTCCTCTGTGATCTTAGTTTTTTAACTACTACAATTTCAGGAAGCCATTTTGCCTATAATGAGCCAGAAAGGTATTTAGCATTTTTCTTTCTGATCATTCAAAGGAAAAATTTATTATGAAATTTATGAAGCCCAGAGTCAGATTACACTGGAAGGTAAAAGTCCATTTTTGGACACAAGTTTTGTAAGAATATACTAAAAAGTCCTATAACCATCCATGCAAATTGCCAAATGAGTCATAAGTAAGTAGTCAGATGGATAAACTAGAAATTGTTCCTGATGATACACAATCTGTCACATTCACCCTCTGCTCTGTTGAACATTCACAACATTCTGGTTACTTATGTGTTTTTTTCTTCCAGGTGAGAATGATGTATGTGAGAGTCTTATATTCAAGATAATAAGTTTGGATATTATACCAGTCAGAGTTGTTTACTGCAAGCAACAGAAAATAACTCTACCTGATTTCAGCAGAGAAAAGCATGTGTTGCTGCATTGTTGAATAGCTCAGGGCATTTCAACAGTGTTGAAACCAGGCTTAGAAAAGGAGGCCAGACAAGGGCAGCTAGGCAGCAGGTGGACAACTAAAATCACACCACCTAACCCATCTAATGTGGAAACAACCATCGCTCCCCTCACACTGAACATATATATCACAGGCTGACTGGCAGCCACACACACAGGACTTTGAACAGTGCTGCTGCACCTCCGTCCCTCTGGATTTCCTGCTGTCTCTGTCTCTATGTGTGACCAGCTCCCAGTTCAAAGGCAATAGTAGGTGCATCCATTTAGTCAAGCCTGGGTCACATACCTGCATCCTAGCTGCAAGGGAGGCTTAAAAAGGTCTGGAGTTTTCAGCTCCTAAAGTGGGAGTCAAGCAGCTAAAAAAAGAGAGACAGTTTCCACTGAGATGCGATAAACAGAGATAATTAATAATAACAGATAAAGTCTTGGGCTCTGGAGTTAGACTGTCTGAATTTGAATCGATGCTATGTGACCTATGTGACCTTGGATAAATCACTTAAACCCTTACTTGTTTCTATTTTCTCACTTCTAAAATAGAGACAATACCATTATCTGCATTAGAAACCCTTGTGAGGATGTTTGTATTTAAAACATCCATGTAAAATTTCTTAGCACAGTACATGGCACATAGTAAGTATTAATGCTTCTATATTTCTGTGTGTGTGTGTGTTTAAATGAACACATGTTTATACCAACACACAACATTGATAGCAGAGACAGAGCTTCTCTACTCCCACTCTCTTTCCCTTTTATAAACACCTACCAAATACTGAGAGTACCGCATATCTCAGACGTTCATTTTGTTTAATGCTAGGCAAGGCAACTTGATTTAACTTTGGTCTCCTCCCTTAAAGCATACATGATCTAGCAGAGACACCAAGGATGAAATAATTATAATTCTACATATGTTATAATAAAAACAAAAGTTCAGAAAAGGATAAGATTAATTTATCTAGAGAGCTAGAAAAATCAAATAAAAGGAACCCGAAAGGGAAAGCAAAGAATAGATAATAAGAATTTTCCAGAGAATAAAGAGAGATGGTTGTCCACCAAGCAGTGAGAATACTCCCAGCACAGTGGTATAAATGCAGGGTGTCTGGGAATGGGGAAGAATTCAGAAAGACAAGAGCGTGGGTTGATGGGAAAGTAAAAAGATGAATTGAGAAAGATCAGGGCCAGATTGTCAAAACCCTCTGGGGTCACGGTGGTTATCCTGTCACCTGCTAACATGCATGCTAGCAAAACTGCTAGGAACTGACCCAAGGCCCTAGCAATGCGCCACACTATTGGCATCAGTATCTTCATATCTTATTTGTTCTTTTTAAATTCATTATTCAGAAGTTAAATTCCAGGTATTAAGGTTGGCCTAAACAAAACAGTAGAAGAGGTAAAGTTTGTCCTGCTCCCTCTCTGGGTCTTCCTTTCCCCCTTAACCTCCATCCCAGCTTCCCAGTGCCATCTGAAAGCCTCTGGCTGTGCATCACACCCATTGCAACGCTGCCAAAGCTTTAGGCCCTCATGAGTATTGCCAGGTCCAGATCCTCCCATTCTTCTTCCTCCACCAATACACCAGAGCCCTGATTTCTGTTTAGCTGACAAGACTGAGAATGGGCTAAACAGATAAACCAGACTTAACCCGTTTCTGTCAGTGGCCCCCTTAATAACACAGTATCCTGATAGCGACAGTGGCCTCCCCAGAACAGCTCCCCAACCTCAGTTTCTGTCAGTTGCTACACCTACATCTTCCCCAACCTCTCCACCTCCCTATGCCCACCCTGCCACAGTTAGAACACATGCTCTAATATGGACAAAATAATTCTTGTAGACCACAAAATAAGAATGCTCAAAAGCAGGATTGCTCCAGAAAATCTGAGGCTAGCCATTGCTTCCTGGTTTCTTCTCAGGAACCCAAATCTGTTCTTCCCTCTGGACCAGAATCTGATCTCAAGTTCTCTAAGACCATCAACTTGGGACTAGGAGCCCAGTAGCTCCAGCATCTGCGTGACCGGAAATGGGATGATGTGGCCACTTGCTGCTGGAGACGTTTCAGCACATTGATTGCAAAGCCCAATGAGTTTCTTTCAGGTTTTGTTTCAGCTGCCAAGAGCCCAGGGCCTCAAGCCTTGTGAGCAGCTCCAGGAATCTCAGGGAATCGAGAAGAGACCCAGGGCACTGGCATTGGCAAAGATGTTGCTGGTGTGGCCGGGTGTGGTGCTGAACTGGCCTGGAGGGTGCGGCCCATTCGGAAGAGCTGTGGCTGGAAGGAGTCTGTACATAAGGGACAGGTAAAAATGAGCAATAATATTTGAGACGGATCCATTCATTCCGTGGCAATGTATTTTTTTCACATGCTTTTCTTTTTACAGCAAGCAAAAGCACATGAAGCCAGTGACTATGAAGTCGGTCAAATTGAATTGACTCAGTTTTTCTCAAGTCTTCAAGCGTGAAGCGTTGCAAACCTTAGAGTGTACACTGGGGAAAGAAAGGAAGGAAAAAAAAAAAGGACTTCACGGCGAAAACTAAGGAAAAGCCTGTGAAAAGAAAACGGCAAGATAAGGCAACACGATTTCAAATCTTAATCTCCTGAAATGGTGGTTCTAAAGCTGCACTTTTCACACTTCTAAGTGAGACTCTTCAAAACTCCGTGTCGAATCATGTTATAACCTTGCTTCTTATCTGTCTGCGATGGCTTTCAAGGGCCAGTAATTCCCCACATGCGGCAGAAAAGTTCACAGTAGAGATCTGCGCGCTTGGCTAAGCTTCCCGCCTTGCTTTTTGCGGAGCGCTGGTGGAGGACAGAGCTTTGTTTCTTTCAGAACTAATGCAACTGCCAAGGACACAGGCTAGAAGCAAACCCAATCACTCACTTGGACACATACTCCACAGGACAACAACTTAATATTAGACTCTCTGCTTTTGTCAGTAAAACACATGGCCAGGTAGAATGCCCCTGCAATTTTTAAAATTAAAAACTAGCAAACGAGACCACAACTACGGGGGAGACTTTTTTGTTGCCCTCTTGCCAGACTCCCTCCCTTGCCCCATCACCAGAGATGACCTGGAGTCTTGGGCGCTGCCTGCTGGGGTGACAGCGGTGCTGGCGGCTGAGGAAAGAAGAGTCATGGAAATCTTAAACTGCAGAGAGAGGACATCATCTGCCATAGGAAGGGTGGAGGCCAACTCACCATCTCTTTCTCTACCTGCCTACTGGCCCTTGGACTGGCCTGAGGGTTTGCACAGGAAGAGGCAGGCGTGAAGAGCTCTGAACAGCATCCCCTGTATCAGGGGCCATAAATGCAAGTGTCAGCCAGGGTCTGGCAGGTAACATCAGCAAGTAAAATGGGTGAGGTCTAAGAAAAGAAAAGGAAGGAAGACATTATCTACTATGTTATTTGTTTTTGTTTTTTAATAAAGACTGTTTTATTTCTTTTAAAAAAAGATTAAGATGGCCGAGGCAGGTGGATGACTTGAGGTCAGGAGTTCGAGACCAGCCTGAGCAATATGGTGAAACCCCATCTCTACTAAAAATGCAAAAATTAGCCAGGCGTGGAGGTGGGCACCTATAATCCCAGCTACTCAGGAGCCGCAGCAGAATTGCTTGAACCCAGGAGGCAGAGGTTACAATGGGCCAAGATTGTACCACTGCACTCCAGCCTGGGAGTCAGAGCGAGACTCCACCTCAAAAATAAATAAATAAATAAATAAATAAATAAATAAATAAATATAATAATAATTAAAACAGAGATGACATTCCAAAACAAAAACAAAATTAATTCCTCTTGGCAAGCTGATACACTTTCTTGTATTAGACACGAGATCTATTGTTCCCATTTTCCCTTGACTTCCAAGAGGCTCAAACCTATATTTTGTGCTTCCCTTTGATTTTTTTGGACACAGCTGTCTTTCTCTTATTCCCACCTGTCTCCTCTCCCAATGTACACACACACTTTATACACACATACATCATATGCACACATATATATGCCACATACACATATAAGAGCATCATAGGCTCTTCTATTTTTACGTCTGGCATTTTTCCCTTTATTGGAAGTTTTATCACAAATCCTTATAACAGTACGCAGTGTAAAGTAATAAATTAATAAAACGAATGATTTCTATACTCAGGAGGCTGATGTTTCCAATTCTTTAACCAGACTGCCATACCATTAGGTGCCAAGGAATCCAGACAACCTGGAGACACAGACCAGATTCCACCCTTGGTTCCTACAGTGGTGTGGAGGACAAAACCTACAGGATTCTGCCCACTCTTGGGTGAAAAAAGTCCAAAATAGCAGAATCCGGAGCCCTATTTTTTAACCACCTTGAAGCACCTTCTCCTGTTCCTCCCACTCTCTCACTCTCTCGCTCTCTCTCTCACACACACACACACACACAGACACACATACCTGGTAGTCTACACAGATGTGGCATAGATAACGGAAGTATATAATACTAGTTTAAACATTCCAGAGTTCTTAATTCCTTACTATCAAGTCCTGTATTAATATGTGCCAAATTGGCCAGGCATGGTGGCTCACGCTTGTAATCCCAGTGCTTTGGGAGACTGAGGCAGGAGGATCATTTGAGCCCAGGAGTTGGAGATCAGCCTAGGCAACATAGCAAAACCACCATTTCTCCAAAAACAAAAAAAATTTAATTAGCCAGGCATGGTGATGCATGCCTGTAGTCCTCACTACCTGGGAGGCTGAGGAAGAAGGACCACTTGAGCTCAGGAGTTCAAGGCTGTAGTGAACTGTAATCATGCCACTGCACTCCAGCCTAGGCAACAGAGAAAAACATTGTCTCTAAAACACACACACACAAACACAGACACATATATATATATATATATGCCAATGTCTTATTTTTTATTTTCTTCTGTTTCAGGTTTTTGGTTTTGTTTTGGAGATGGAGTCTCACTGTCACCTAGGCTGGAATACAGTGGCGTGATCTCATCTCACTGCAACCTCTGCCTCCTGGGTTCAATGGATTCTCCTGCCTCAGCCTCCTGAGTAGCTGGGATTATAGGTGCCTGCCAACACGCCTGGCTAATTTTTGTACTTTTAGTAGAAATGAGGTTTTACCATGTTGGCCAGGCTGGTTCGCGCTCCTGACATCAAATGATCCGCCTGCCTCTGCCTCGCAAAGTGCTGGGATTACAGGCGTGAGCCACTGCACCTGACCTGTTTTAGGTATTTCCATGTAAAACTCTGTACCAAATGTCCAAACTCAATGGAAAGGACCATTAAATTAATTCCAAATTCTAACTCCAAAAATATTCTAATTTTTAAAACATCCTGTTATTTTCATTTTAAGGATTCAAAGGATTTCTCTTTGGAAATTTTTTGCTTTTGTTTCTGTTTTCACTATTTTCTCTGTCTGCAAGACAAAATTATGAATAGAGATGATATACATTAGGAAGGAGCTATAGATTCAAAATTAATCTCCACCAAAGTTAATTCCTGCATAAATTAAGCTGAATGTGTTTTTTCAACACCATGAATCAAGTTTAATAGCTATAAATAAAACATGAACTTGAGTTTCCTCATTTATAACTTCAAATCCATGATACTTTAGCATAGGAGGGGCAACATTTTCTTTTTTCTTCTTTTTTAGAGCTCTGAGGCTAGTCATCTCAGAGATTGTAGTAAATATTGTTGATTCAAATAAATTCCTCTCTATGGCTGAAAAAACTAATACTAAGAAGTCCACAGAAAAATTCTCTCTGCATTCCTTTGTATGCTTATGCAAAACATCATGACTCTCCTTTTAGGACCAGCAAACCAGTAGAAAAATTGCCAGAGATTTGAGCTTTGGGGATTGGGAAGGCTGTTCTGCTGCATGAAGTGCATGGCCAGTTGTTGGCCTCAAGTTACTCTATGGCTATAATTAAACCCTGAACTGGTATTAAAACAGGATGTCAGGGTGACCCTGTTGAGACCTAACCTGTAGTAGGCGCTGTGGTGCACCTCAACCCGTTTGCTTGGCCCAGTGCACCCTCTCCAGCTGTGTGAATGTCTAGTGTCATCACACTTACCAGGGAAATTATGCCCTGCCCCACCCTCCCACCAAGGCCAACGCAGCCCACAGCCAATAAGAGCACAAGAGGCCAACCCCCTTGCCTCCATTTTGTCTTGAGGTTTATACTCCATAACTGCATTGTTTGATGTGGTAGCCATTAGCCATATTGACTATTTAAATTTACATATAATTTAATTAAACATTTAGTCCCTCAGTTATACTAGCCACATTGTAAGTGCTCAATGGCCATAGGTAGCCAGTGACAACTCTACTGAACAGTGCAGATTCTATAGAACATTTCCATCATCACGGTAAGTTCTACTGGCCAGCACTGCTTTAGAGTCTACCCCTATGGATCAGACCAATGTGAGGCTTTCCCTGAAGCAACGTCCTTGCTCAGCTCTTTCCCTCTCCCTATCCAGCTTTCATACCGCCCCCTTTAAGTTTTTAAATTTTGTTTCTTAAGAACACTCCCTCAATAAATCTTCTGCATTTGAATCCCTGTTGTGGACGCTGCTTCTAGGGAATTCTATCCAAGACACCATCTCTATTGCTTTCAGCTTATTGTGAACCAAAGGGTAAGCATTTATGCATGGACGCCTTGGATTTCCTTACTCTAGAGATAAAGTATAGTCATGTTTTCTGAAGTTTGGCTTGAAGCATCAGTGAGCCTAAATTTCATAAAAGGAAAGGGGTTCTGAGATCATAATAAAGTAGTTTCATTTCCCCACCGGAGCGGAAGTGACTGGGGGCTGCAAGTCTCTGCAAGAAGCTGGGTCCTGTGCTCCACTTGCATGCAATGGCCAGATGGGGGCACTAGCTGAGGCGTGCTGGGAAAGCCGACGGTAAGAGCTATGGGTGTGAAAGTAGAATACATGGTCTGCGGTGGGAGACAAGCTGTTGACGATGTGGCCAACAAGCACTAAGCAGTAGGCCACCACCCCATTTGTATCTAGAGGTAAGGTATGCTCTAATGACAGAGGGAAGGGAGCCCCAATACGAATACTGAATAACCAGGCTGCTGAGTGGACTTTCAGAACTGGATAAAATGTGTTATAAACACACAAGTGCAGCCATCAGGGACATGCAAATCAAAACCACAAGGAGATTTCACTTTACACCCATGAGGATGGCTATGCTCAAGAGGAAAAAAACAAATGTTGGCGAGCATGTGGAGAAACTGGAACCCTTGAGCATTGCTTGTAGGAATGTAAAATGGTGCAATCACTTTGAAAAACAGTCCAACAGTTCCTCAACAAACTACCCATAGAGTTACCATATGACCCAGCGATTCCACTCCTAGGCATGTACCCAAAAGAAATGAAACATATGAAATGATACAAAAAAAAAAAAAAGTGTGTAGGTGAATGTTCATAGCAGCATTGTTCATAATAGCCACACAGTAGAAAAAACCCAAAAGTCCATCAACTGGTGAATGGATAAATAAAATGTGGTATACCCACAAAATATTATGCAACGACAAAAAAGAATGGAGTATTGACATGTGCTACAATATCAACAAACCATGAAAGGACACAACATGAATGGATCTTGAAATGTCAAAAATAGATAAATCTATGGAGACATAAAGTTGATTAGTGGTTGCCAGCGGCTGGGGAGGTTTGGAGGAAGTGTGGAGTGACAGATAATGAGTTACAAAGTTTCTTTTTGGGGTGATGACAGTGTTCTAAATGTGATTGTAGTGATGGTTGCACAACTCTGAAAATACTAAAAAAAACACTTTAAATGGGTGAATTGTATGGGATGTGAATTACATCTCAATAAAGCTGATAGAAACACACATACACACAGACACACACAAGCAATGTGAGTTTTTTGCACCATAGCTGTGTGACAAAATCATTTACATTGCAATGTTTGTTTATCTTTAAATATATACCTGGGGACCCCTCCTGTACTTTTTCAGATAAGCCTGTGACTCAGGCTAAATGACTGGCAGCGGCACAATAACCTCTCAATTTCTTGAACATGTTCTATTTTATCTTTGTCTTCTGAAGTAACTGGTTAGATAAATATTAAATCAGAAGTATTGTCTGATGAATGGATCACCAACAGCTTCAAGCAAGGAATGTAAAAGCTAATGTGAAAATAAGGGCATGCCACATTCATCCTCAAACAGGAACACATACTGGGAAGATTATGAAATTTAATAGTCTCAATATAAACTTTCTCATCCTAAACACAAGAATAGATGTTAAATAGAGAAAATCAATATATTCCCTGTTCTGACCTAAGTCTTCCCTTTGAGTCTTCAAATAAGTAGATTTTCCCTTCCCAAATAGTCCAACCTGGAACTGTCCAATAG